ACACACACACACACACACACCCCACACACAAACACACACACAAACACATACACACACACATACTCACAAAAAACCCTCACCTTGACGGGCACACAAAAACACAGCAGCGCCAGGTCGGCAGAGGCTAGCGATGTGAGGAAGATGTTGGTGATAGACCTCAGTCTCCTGTCCCTGGCCACAGCTGCGATGACCAGTAAGTTGCCCACGACTCCGATGACCAGCGTGACGCCATAGACCAAAGACACGGGCAGAATCTCGTCCAGTGGAACCGATGAGTCAGCCGAGCTATAGTCATAGAAGTAGTCGTCAGAACTGTAGTCGCTGTTGCTGCAGTTGTTGCTGATGCTGCTGATTATGTTGTTGTTGGTGCTGGTGTGGCTGAGGCCCGTATCAAAAAGGACGCTGGACGTAGCGTTGGTGTCACCGTCGCTTTTGAACAGGTTATGCAGCACCCGAGGTAACGGAAAGTAATTCGTATTCTGCAATGAACGATTGTCTGCACTTGACTGAGAACCATCCGGATAATCGAAGTCGAGACTGCCTCCATGGACAATCGGTTTGTCTAGAGCTGTTGGTGTGGGTAAACCGCTTCCGGAAGGGTGGAAAATGGAACCAGAAATTAACTTCTTTTCTCTCCCATTCAGGTTAAATGAAGTGTCTCTTACATAGACAACCGTATCATTACTTCCCTTGTCAGCAGAATCCAAGAGACGATCAGACGTCCATTCTATGTTAGACGGAGCTGTTGTGCTTTCCATATTCTCTTGTTTGGATTTCTGGCTAAAATCGACTGAAGTGTATTTTCAATTAAGTTTTTGATTAGTTCCTGTTTTCCAAAATGGCAGGATAGAGACAACAGAAGTCGAAATGAACTGTTTCTCAGACGATGGCAACTGTTTCAGTTTCCTCACACCTGATACGTCTCCTCTCGAATCGTTTACCCTTTAGTTGACGATGATTGTCTTGATTTTATTTTGAAACAGATCTTAGATGCTGGGACGAGTAATCCGATGTAACATGATATTGATTTGTTTGAGTTTTAGTCTTTAAGCTCAGGCAAAACAAAGTAGAACATTGACGAGAATCTAGAATTAAAGCCCAATGATGTTGATAGACCCGAGTTTCAATGTTTTTCTCACTAAATGTTTCAGCTGTCCTACGTATCAGCTGTAGAAATGATAAACAATCTGCCCTTGGCTTTTATAAGTATGATTGATTATTAGCTTGATTTTGGTATAATCAATGCTTAATTACAAAATTGATTTTGTTTTATAGCTCTAGCTGATTATAAACAAGGCGTGTGTTCACATTTGTCCGTCATATCATAAGTCCTAGTTTCAACTGAGTTATTGGTCATATGTTAGACAGCATTGCTCGCTGTAAAGTTAGAGAACCAACATGTAGGTCTGTTTACAGTCTGTCAATCGTGGGAGTCCTCTAAACACAGCTTCGGGTTAAAAGAATGTTTTCACCAGATTTCAAACCACTGTAGAATAGCCATGTTTTATATGAATTAAGAAATCGGCAGGATATCCTTGTCTTTATTCGTTAGCTCATATCGTGTGACACGCCAGGAAAAAACCATGGCAACTCTCCAAGACAACTTGTGAATGTCAAATGTCACACCGACAGCATATCGGCTGATATCTCGCTTGGTGGCCAGAGATCAGAAACGTACTAGCTCTTGCTAATGGCGTCTGTCTGAAATAAAAGAACATGAGGTTAAGTTGTAACAAGACACTGTTTTGTTTGTGGTGAAATCTCTCAAAGAGAAACCTTTTGGCAAAAAAAAGTTATTGAAAACAATACAAGACTTCGCATAAAACCAGCAAACTTGTAGATTGCGCTCTTCAGTACATAAGACTCATTAATTTGGTTATTGGCGTTCTCTGCTTCAACATAACGATTCAATATGGACTCCCTGCTGCTCTTCTATTCCCCTTTTTCTCGTTACGCTTTTACGGGATGCTAATTTCCTTTTCATTTCGCATAATAAGAAGCATGCCGTCAACTCCATAACTGCACAAAGATTTGCTATGCACAATACTCATTACGCATTCATAATTCAAAGGTTCTGGGAATAGCGAACTGCATAATGTTGTTTGTTGTTATAAGCGCACGCTGAGCTTTTAAGTTGAATGGACACGTTGCTAAAGTTGTTATTATTTCTTTCAACTCCTGTACGTTGCCGAAGATGGAGTGATCTCTTCTGCTACAGCTCGGCACAGGGGCAGCTTATGAAGACATTGCGTGACCCTGGAAGCTGTCTGGGGTGACGTTATGGCTAGGGGGCAATCTGCCCGCCACTAGCAAGACCCATTCACGAAAGTAACGGGGTTCTGAAATAACTCTTTCCTGCATATTCATAGAGAGATTTTAAAAGATGATATTATTTGTCCTCTCTAGTAACCTCTCTTTTGGATAGTCTCTTAAGGAAGTCAGTATAACTCATTTCCTCCCTCAGCTAAAAAAACAAACAAACGAAAGTAAAAAAATGTATGAAGTATTCTTTCCATGATTTTATCACGAAAAAGCAAATATCACTCAGCGCAATGCCGATGGTGCCCATGCCAGAACAGCAACTCGAGAACTCTCAGAAAACTCGAGAGTTAGAAAAATGCCGAGCTTTAGGATCATACTTCATCTGTAGCAACAGTGCTATGACAGAGAAGCGCTTTTCGCGGACGCAAACACACACACACACACACACACACACACACACACACACACACACACACACACACACACACACACACATGCACACACACACTCTCTCTCTCTTTCTCTCTCTCTGTATGTCTCTCTCTCTCTCTGTCTCTCTCCCTATTTCTCTCTCTCTCTCTCTCTCTCTCTCTCTCTCTCTCTCTCTCTCTCTCTCTCTCTCCTGGTAACCACATATCGATATCTTATTTGAGACTGCACTACGTCCTGAACCCGAGGTTAACTCGATATCTCCCCCCCCCCCCCGCCCCAACCGCACCTCTTTCCCTTTCTTTTCATGCTGTGCAGGAATCAGGATTTTGTCATGCCCCTGTGATCCAAAAACACGTGATACAGGCTCGTGGGCGTTCCAGTTTCGTCATCCCCAGATTGTGGCCCCACTTCTTACTCTCCAAAACTACCTCTGTTAATAAATACTGAATCATAATTTCACGTCTATCTAAAATTCCAACCATTATACTTTGGATTAGATTTAGTGATTTGGCAGCAAAGCAAATGGTGTTTCAGAAACAACTTTATAGATAGCGCACGGTGATTTGTTCCAGTCATATAGTCACATAAGTTCCAGTTTCGTCCTATGGGATGTGCTCACTGCAATTTCGTCACATGACGGGTGGTTCAATGCAGAAATCCAGAGTGGGGCTATTAAATGTTAATAAACTTCTAGGTTTATGAGTTAATTTTCGATTAAATTACTCATTGTGTGTGTGTGTGTGTGTGTGTGTGTGTGTGTGTGTGTGTGTGTGTGTGTGTGTGTGCTTGTCTGTGTGTGTGTATGTGTGTGTGCTTTGTTTTTGTTTTCGTTTTTGGTTTTGTTTTGTTTCGTCTTGGTTTTTTAGGGGGAGGGTATTTTGTACAAGTTTTTTTTCTTATTTTGAAAAACAATGTTTTTAGTAGTTGGTAACGATAGCAATATACGAGAAAAATCAATACGACACTTTCCCACTTCCCGAAGGCAGAAAACATGAACGTTAAAAATTAGTTCTCTCGTACCCTTGCAAACAAATTCAGCAGCCAACCCTAAGGCCATGAGTTTGTTACGCATTTGTTGGATATTTTGTGGGGGAGGGGTATGACGCAAAGAAAGGTGAACGTATCATTTTACAGACAAACATCCCTTCCTACTGAAGGGAAGTAAAAGAATTCAAAAGTACGATCTATATAAAAGATCAACGAACGAATTCGTTACATATCGTTATGATAACGAATGGGTTTTTATTTTCAACGGATACAAAGAAGCCTATTACCGAAAAAGTTTGCGTCGTCGACCCTGATTCTGAAACGCCCAAATCAAATGCCTGGTTGCCATGATCAGCCGCTCAGCTTATTCCATTTAAGGCGGTCCCCTTCCAAAATGCGTCAAACGTCACATTAAAATGTAAAGGATTAATAACTTGACTAGATCTATATGCTTTAGTGACATCTACGAACAGTCTCTTTTTTTTTTTTCATCCATACCATTGTTTTTATCATTATTATGTCCAGAACAGAAAATTAACGTACGCTAAGATAATGTATACAGAAAGTCTGTGACGAAATTGTATCACATACTTGTTATTGCTTTACCCTGTGAGTGCCTACTTGATTCAGCGATATGTCACTCAGGTGTCTACGGCAGGCACCGAAGTGGGCGTGACCTGGAGGTCAATGTTCCAATTTTACGTTTGAGTTGTCACACAGGTCTCCTTGACGGAATATCTGTCAAGAAAATTCAGTTTTAACTTAACAAACTACATTTATAACGAGTTAACATACACAAAAAGGCCTTCTATCACATTTAGACGTCTTTGCAGACAAGCGCACATCAAATCGCGATTGTACAGAGCAATTATGAGGATGAGAACTTTCTGGCAACAAAACTGTGTTATTCTTCGAAAGCTTAGCAGAAGACGTGACGTCTAAAACTTGATTTAGTAAACTAGAACCTTTTTTACTGATATGTTGATTTATTTGATTAGGCAGTATATGGGTTATGAACGTGTACTTTTTAGCCGTCAATTTGATTTGGAAGAAAGTTTGGTTTATCTTTGACAGAAGTTGGGAAAGGACCACAGGGGGTACGTTTCCACGAAATGGGAACACTGACGAAATTAAAACATCCTTCCCTAAGGTAAACAAAATTCATTGGGGTAGGGTTTTTTTGTGTCTATACCAGGGGGTCACCTAACTGCGGCCCGTAGGCCGGGTTCGGTCTGCAAGGTCAGCTATCGTCTGGCCCGCTGCCAAGCGACTACGCAGGAAAAAAAACGAAGACGTCTTTGTAGCGTGCTCAGTACTTACCCCCCCCCCCCCCAATAATATGAGATAATAAAATTATTGAACTCTACAATGCAAATCAAACGTGCTTTTATACCCTTCATAACTTCTAGTTAGTATATCACTCTCACACGGTTCTGATAAAAATAAATGACAAGTTTTTCATCGAACAAATTTCCTACAGACAAGCAAGTGGTTGGCGGGTGCTCTGGTGTGGTTTGCTTCATCTTTCTTGTTAAAAGTATATCGTCCTGTGCTCTCACCCTTTTTGTGTTTGTTACTCTCTTGTAACTCTTCTTTTCTTCGGCACTATATTACCTTATTGAGTTTGAAGTGTCGTGAAACTCTTACTAAAACTAAAATACCCTTCAGCGAACGGTGATCTCCCCGCCTATACATGGATTCCACAAATGTAAATAAACTGTTGTCTTTATGTTCAGCGTGATATGGATTTTGTGAACTTAATAATCAGTAGACCGGATGCTTGTATTCTGTATGTATCCAGTGTAATAATAAACAAAATAGTTATCTTCCCCCTACTCGAAATTCTTTTAGTTACCTGGCCCTCTTTAAAAAAAAATTAGTGACCCCTGGTCTATAGCCCTAAAAAAACCGAGAACAAAACGGTACCGACAAAGGGCAAAAACGAAAACACCATATCGTGTAGACAAATGTACTAGAATACATGTACATCTAATAGTGGACGTGTTGTAACCTTTTTTGAAGAATCATCGTAAGTTCCAGTTTTGTTTTTCTTTATACGCATGGAGTTCTAGTTTTTGTTTTACCCTGTGAGTGTCCACTTGATTCTACCATGACGATATCATTCTTGTATCTAAGGCACAGACGGTAGAAAACGTGACACTGAGGCGAATGTTCCAGATAAGCGTTAGAGTTGTCATACAGTTCGCCTTGACGGGATACATCCCGACCCGCTGACATATGATGGAAATCGACTAAGTAAAGAGAAAAGCGCGGTCAATTTGGGGCCATTTAGTGCAGGGGAAAAAGCAAACCAAGTAGTTAGAGACTAAAAAAGGAAAGGAAGAGAAAAAGACCTGTCAATAACACGCTCTAACCCAACCGCCC